TCCAATCATCAACCACCGCCTTCGGTGTTGGTCGCTTTTGTTTGCCCTTAATTGTTGAAACGCTCGGTCCATATATCTTTTCAGAGATATTAACATCTTCCTCCGTAATTGGACAATTTTTGAAAAAATTTCCCCGAATCGCCAACTTGAATAGTTCTGCACCAGGTGCCCCCATCATATGATAGCCACTCCGTGCAACATTTGCTCGTTTCACTTGTTTGTTTGTGAAACCCTCTTTGTTCTTCTCCACACTCTGTAGAGCACAGTACCCTTGCACATCATCATTATCAAGTCCACGTGCATGGTCATGGAACATTGTTGTTACCATAGCAGGTTCGTCAACCAAAGTATATAATCCATTGCGATGTCCAAATTGCCATGTAGTCCCGTTTCTAGTCACAAAGAAGCTGTTGTCTCTCTTTGTGTCCATAAATACATCAAATCCATCTTGTACCATATTCGACAAGCTGTTGATGTTGTCACTAGCTTGTGTGTCAAGCTTACAAACAGAATCAAATACCTTATCAATTCCTTCTCGATAAAGTTCTCTTCCCTTGACATTAGAGGCATAATGGAATCCTCCATGAATTCCTTGCAGACTTCCTTCTTTCAAGTCATCTTCATTGGTTCGCAAATGAAAAGTATATCCCCTATCCCAGTGGGTACCAGTATTGTTGTGTTGAAATAACATCATCCTTTGTTGTCTTGGATGATCGTCAGTATGTCCTTGTTGAATAAATTGTCCTCCATGGGATCCATTGTTGGAACGTCCATAGTTCCATTGAGTGTTTCAATCTCCTGATTCATTATCATCACGCGTTGCATTTTCATCACGTTGCATATTCTGTCGATTACCACGACCATTTGCGTCCAAATAATCCCTATCTTTGTCCGGGTTTTCCATTGTTCCCGCGGCTTCAATTTGTCTGCACATTGAGGTGCGACATGATCTTTTGATCCGCATACAAAACACGCTCATTGATGCCACTCACAAGACCAATAATGAAGGACGCCCCCTTCTGCTTATTTTCGGGAGGGATAGTGCTGGCAAGGCTTTTGTGGTCATCCATGTTTTCATGCAAAACGAGTCACAAGCTTTCTACCGATGGATATTCTTACAGGCACTGCCAGCTATGCTTGGTGTTGGAAATCTAAAATGAATTCACCTTATATTGACAGACAGAGATGCAAGTGAGTATGATGCTGTTGATCAATCCATCTTTTGTTGTGTGAAGAATGCAATTCAGGGCAGATGTGGGCACCACCTCATAGAAAAAACATTCTTGAAACATGGCCCAAAAGATAATGAGGTGAAAACCCAATCTAATGGACAAGCCATTCTACTGGAGATCCGGAGATGGGTTAGATCTTGGATTGACAGGACTTCCTGCCACAGTAAGAATGAGTATGAATTGTCCAAGGCTCTCCTGCTAAAAGAACTCCAAACAAACTCTGTACTCCGGCGATTGGTTGGAGACAAGGCTGCAGAAACATGTGTAGGATGGATCCTTAATCGCATTGTTACACTCAATGACCAGCAGTTTGCCGTCCAGTATTCTGAAATCGTCCACTCATCATGAGCAAGTTCCTATTCTTTCAAGTCGTAGGAATGTATCGACTCCCAATCCAATTCAGTGACTTTTCATTATATATGTTAGAAGTAAGCGGTCCACTGCCGCCTGCAATCTACCTGTTCAATTGACTGCGATTTAGCTGTCCAGGTATTGTTGCCTTCTAAGTATATGAATTTACAGTATATAGAAGTATATAGATCTATCAGAGATCCTACTTTATC